CCACCTTATAACAGCCTAGATATGATCTTTTACATTTCACCCACTAAGTAAACTTTTAAAAGGCTGACCCTCTTTTGTCCCATGTAATCTGATCTACCTATCGCCATCAAGGGACATCTGGGATTCATCTTATCTTTTCCACTGGCTCGTTGATTAATAGAAAGTGTTTTGAATTGGATTCAAATATGGCAGAACTCCACGGACCTTATGAATTACAATAGGGGCAAATAAAAGGTCAGGTTAAAAAAAAAATTGGAGGGGAGGGAGTGAATGAAGCCTTAATAATGCAGTCAGGATTAGGTGCTTAAGAGATGAGGCTGAAACTTGTGTTTATTTTAAAATAGTAGGTTTATACACCTAAGGGAATTTCTGGCCATCATTAAAGTGAAGTCTGTTTTCACAGGGATGGAGACAATCTCGACCTGACTGGATTAACTGAGTTTATGGACATCCTGCACTGACTCCGTTGGTCAGAAATATTCCACAAACCTTTGTATGTTGATGATCATGAAACAGCCTTCTACACCTAGCAGAGTGATTCTAGGCAAAGTTAATGCAGGAACTGATGCCTTTTTTTTTTTTCTCAACTCATTAGACTTTTGCCTGCCCTGAGAAGCCTTAATGAGGAGGGAGGGGAGAACAGCTGAAAAGAGACTTAAGTTGAATGAGTCTTTCCATTCTATCCATCTCTTTCTGATTCTCCAGGGAGCGGAAAGGCCTTTATGCCCTATTTCTACCCAAGCCCACAGCCATCTTTTCTAAAAAATATTAAAATTTGAATGTAGTGCTAAGCTAGAGTAACTCCCATCTCAGGTTCAGTCAGCTTGGCAGGTTACTCTTCCAGGGCTAGATACTTAACTGGTATAAAACCGTTAATGCTGTAGGGGTGCAATGGAGCTATGCCAGTTTACACTAGTGGAGAATCTTCCAACTCTCCCAACCCCATCCATTTGCAACAGCTGACCTTCTTTTTTTTTTTTTTAATGGTTGGAGCAAAGCATTTTCAGAGGTGGAAAAGCATCATGAAATCAGACCCTATGGTTTCTGCTGACTGAAAAACTGTTCGTCTGACATTTAAATTTTAAAAAGTGAGGTGCAGGGAGATTGTGACAGAAAAGAAAAGAAAGTTCATTATCTTATATGAAGGTGTAATAATTGTTTAGCAGTAAAACATATTTTACAGGGTGGAACAAACATGTGGCCAAATATCATGACTTCGTCTTGCCTGCTCATTCAGCAGCTACAATACCAATTTTTAGACTCTAAGCTCTTTGGGGCAGGGACTATATTCTGTCTTTAATTGAATGGTTGCACAATGCCCAAAACAATGAGGCTCTGCCCACTACCATAATACAAACAACAAATAATAATACTTACCAAAAAAAAAAAAAAAAACCCCACCACCCCTGGACATGAGGGGGAAAAAAGATGAGCCAAATTCTGTACTGACTTTCACTCCATATGTCCTCATTGTACCCCATATAGTGGAAGAAAGAATTTGGACTGTTATTTTTCTTAATGGTCTCCCTTTGGGTGTAAAAAGATACGAATTGCTTACATTTCCAAGCAGAATCACAGAATAAAAGTGTGTGTGTGTGTGTGTGTACACATGGCAGTGAAATTCACCCCAAGCCCAGTGGAGGGGCTCAAACAAGGCCTTCAAACACGTTTAGCACCATCAATGGGAAAGAAGTGGCATACATGGCTTGTAATGGTTCTCTGCACAACAGGGTCAAATTCTCACCCTCTTGTGCATGTGCATGCCAGTATGTGTATGCTTGTGCAGTATAGGTATGGATGCTTACATTTATTCTTTGAATGGCTTCAAGTTTCCCATGAAAACTTCTTTTAAAAACTAGCTCTATATGCTATTCAAATCCATTGTTTTATTCTGATCAGGGAAATCAAAGACTGGAAGTAGTTAACATTGGGTCTTGGTCACCTGCAATGTCCTGAGAGCTTATGTTGACTTTGTATTTTTATTTCTTTGATTTAAAAATAAAACCCAAATAAACAAATGTAGTGAAACGTGTACAAAGCAGGATTATGAACTCTCCATGTTGTGCATTTTATTGGGCCTTTTGTCTTCATAAAAATAAAACTGTACAAGCCAGGAAGTTTTGAAGGCAGAGCCAAGCTAGAACCAAACAAGAGTTCTGGCTTGGCTCTGTGAGCTACAGCATAAGCCAAGCTATTAGACCTGACTCTATACACTTATGGACAGGAAAATTCAGAGAGGGATATGCACTGTAAGGTTTTTGTGGCAGGAAGTGAGGCCACAGATTGTCCTGAACGCATAGCTAAACCAGATCTTGGGTCAAGCTTTGATTGCCTTGTTCACCTTTGTTTAAAAGTAGAACGGAAGGCCCAATTCTGCCTGCAGATACACATCTATGGAGGCAGAACTGGACCTAGAATATGAATCTACTCTACTCTGTTCAGTCTGTGTAAAGGGTGCCCAAACTTTCCCCCATGCAGATCCACATTGGCGGTTTGCCAGGAGCATGAGGAGGGGCACAACTAACTTGTGTTTAATTTTACAGGGTTTTTTTTAGAATGGAAAATAAATGCATCTAGACATAACATGTATGTGTTCCTGTATTCTTCCATTATGGATTAACAGAAGTTGTGTGTTGTCTGAGTTCTGCAGCAGTAAAGCCTGCAGTTGACCCACTTTGTCCTCACCCACTACACTTATAGGGAGAGGGTGATTGAGGCCCATGTTAGAACTTCAATGTACATTACTCTAGAGTAGGGGGCAGCCAAAGTCCCTTTTCCCACCGCTCCTCCGACTGTCAAAGTTGTGCTGTTGTCTGCTATGGGGACACCATTTATTTCACACTCTAAGCATGGAAGACATCCATCCCCTCCCAGTGTGGGCATAGTACATGGGAGACCCAGGCTCAAATCCTTGCTCTGCAGGATTCCTAGGCAAGTGCCCTAACCACTAGGCTATTGTGTCAGTCTTTCTTTGTGGCTCAATGAATAGTTAATTATTTATACAAAGTGGAATAGCTCCAACAGGAGAGATTGAACCTGCTCTGAATCAGGCAGAGCAGCATCTTGAGCCCAGGTCTCCTATATCCCAGGCAAGTGCCATAAACACAGGGCCATTGGCTGTTATTGCTTGTTTTTTAACACTTTTTTTTTTTTTTTTTTTTGCAAGGTCTAGTTTTAGTTCTAGTTCCAAAGCGGAACAAAAACAAATGTCGAAACATTGCATTTTTTCACGAAACAGAATATTTGTTTTCCGTGCAGCCCGAGTGCACCATAAAAAGTGTCTCCCAGTTTGCTCACAAGAGTAATCTGAAAGCTTGCCAAGTAAGAAATACTACTTCTTAGAACCTGATCAATACAAGCCATAAAGTTTTTAAGTTTTAAAATTTACCTGCAACACTCACAATGACTGTACCTTTCTTACCGAACAATGTAGAAATTGGAACTGTTTAAAAATACCAGCAAGGAGTTAACAAATGGAAGTGCAAGAGAAGTATTGTAAATAGGTAGCACAGCAGAAACTGGGAGTGATGGTATAAAACTGAGAGGACACATTTTGGCTAAATAGCAGGAAGGCTTTTCTTTGGACAAAGCTATCGAGAAAGATGTTGGAATCTCCATCAGAGAAGAGGTTTACTTCAAGGCAAGACTAGATGTACAGGAAGCTAATAAGGATACTGTAGAATTTTGTGAATACTAGGATCATTGTAGTTAGATATGCTAAAGACCTATTGAATCAAGACCAGGGTCCATTTTTATATTCCTTAGTAGATAAAAGATATAGCCCCCAGATAAAGGAGGTGACAGATATAACACTGAACCAGCACTTAAACACCAAGAAGAATAGCCTTCACTGCAGAAACAGGGTGAGCTAGGGAGGATTCAAGGGTCACTGAAATCCTAATGCAGCAGCGTTGCAAACTCTTGCTATTTTACCACAGATCTTGTGATATTTAGTGTTTATCCTGTAGACCCAGAGCCTGAAATCATTTGATTATTTAAGACTCTTGGCTTCCATTTAATAAAAAAAGGAGTTTTTAGCCCTGTGGTTGCAGAGAAAAGCTTCAAAATGTGAAACCTACGGGATCAAAAAGCAGAAGACAAATTTTACTATTTTTAGAAATCTCATGATTTTAAGTCAATCTCATGATTTCATAAGACTCAACTAAATATTTTTGAATGCTAAGGCTTAGCAATACTGATACGGTACCTCTCTGTCTATGGAACGCATTCAGCTGTCATCTCAGAGAGAGCAGTTCAAATAAGATCTGTATTCACCAATAAGTGAAATCTGTACTGGGTGGTCTGAATATTCAGCAGCTAGCAGTCCTTATCACATAATTTATTGCAAACTAGGGCATTTATGTCTGCACCCAAAATGTTTCAGAAACCTTCCCAGAGAGCTTAACAAAGGATTTTGTTTTTAACATTTGTACAGCGAAATCTAAAAAATTGCTGATTCTGTGGATTGTGAAATCTGTGCCTGTATTAGCCAGGTTGAAGTAATACAAATATACGTAGCATTTTTCTGGCTCTTGTTGCTTCACTGACTGATTTAGGTCACTTTGGGGGGTGGGGAAGCTAGTTAGGAATGCTTATACAAACAAACATTTGAATTGAGTAATATGTGATATATTTTTTTTCGAAAGGAAAAAGAAAAGTTAGCTAAAGATTTGTGTGTGTATGTAGTTTTAAAGTTAATAAGAATGTTTAATGACTGATAAGTTTTATGGGTAGGACAAGCATGTGTCTGTCCTATGCTGAAACATATTTCCTAGTGGTGTTGGTGTTTTTCAGTATTGCTACAGTAATCCCCTGAATGCATAGTAGTCTGGTGAACTATCGGCAGATAAAATGGCATGGAATACTTTGACCAGTGTGTTGCCTAAGTGAAAAACTCCTACATCTAAGTGTGTTACTCTGGTGCTGCCAGTTGTATATCCTTTGACAAAAATGTAATTAGCCCCCTTGGAGCTCACCTCTCTCCCTTTTCTCCTCTTCAGGATTGCCCTCCAGAAGCCGGTGATTTTCGGGCCCAGCAGTGTTCTGCTCATAATGATGTCAAGTACCAGGGACAGTTTTATGAATGGCTTCCTGTCTCTAATGACCCTGACAACCCGTGTTCACTGAAGTGCCAAGCCAAAGGGACAACCCTTGTTGTGGAACTGGCTCCGAAGGTTCTTGACGGCACGCGATGCTACACTGAGTCACTGGATATGTGCATTAGTGGCTTGTGCCAAGTAAGCAGGGAGTTCTTATTCTAGCATATGTTGTAATGATTCTTTTCCTGAATATCTGTCTGTCACTCACTCCTTCTTTCTCTTCTCCTCCATCCCCCCCTTTATTTGCTCAGCTGTAGGGTTTTCTTTTTATGTATTTCTATTTTCACAATCATTTTAATATGCTTTCTGTAAAGTACTATAGGAAGAGCTGAGCAGATTCATGAAACAAAGGGATTTTTCTCTTTTCGGGGGGAGGGGGACGACTTTCCCTTCTTTTCACCTGGAAAAAATGTGGTTGATGGTTCCTGCATTTTATACATTTAGTTATAGCAGCTGATCCTATTGGAAAAAATACCCTAAAAAGGAACAATTTAATATTTAATTATATTTTAAAACTTCCCAGGATTGAGGAAATTAATCTGCCCTTGAATATTACTATTCAAATTATTCTCTCTAAAAGTCACAAACAATATAGTGATTCAGTGGATGGAGCACTAAACTGGAAACTCAGCCAGTGATTTGTTGAGTAACTCTGAGCAAGTCACTTAGTCTTTCTATGCCTCGGTTTCCCCATCTGTAAAATAGGGAAAATATTGTTAACCCGGCTCTGCAAAGTACTTTGAGATTTACAGGTGGAAGGGGCTGTCAAAATGCTCTGTATTAGCTTTGATTTTTCAGATTTACTTATTGATTCTTTAATTATTTTATTGATTTTCTAATTCATCTAATTTCTTCCATTGCACTGGTTTAGCATTGCTATTTATTTTTGAGATTGTACTTAAATTGTCACACATGGGGCTATCTAGAGACTGGATGGACTTAAACTCTAAACTTTGGGGAGGTTCAGATTGAGATCTGAACTCAGCTGCTGGGGCTCTATCTCTCTCATGTGACAAACCAGAACTTTGGATCCAAACATCCCTGAACTTCGGAAGACTCTGGATCCAGATCCAAACTTCCAGGCTCAGCTCCATCTCCAATCCTACATATTTTTAATACTTTATTAGGTTTGTGAATGGATTTTCAGCTGCATTCTCATTCTTAGTTTTTTTCCCCATTTACTTTTTCTCTTTGATGTTCTACTCTGACCCAGCAGTGGTCTTTATAGTTAGTGGGAATTTGAAACTGAATGGTATAGGGTATATAGAACAGACCTCACTTATCTGATTGACCTCATTTGTGATCTGAAACAGGGTGATGTCTCTTGGCTTCAGCTGAGGACATAAATGTTTCTTAAAAGTGAAGTTTGCATAATTGGGGAATCCCACTTCTAGTTGTTTTGCAGTTTATCCAAGAAGGTGCCCAAGAGCCTGGGTAGAGAAATGAGTTTGTTAAAGTGTTTTAGCTAAAGCAAGCTGGGAACTGGGAGCAGTATGTTCTTTGGGTCAGAACCCCAGCTTTATAACTCCTTGCCAGAAGTGATCAGTTTGGGTCCAAACCTGACTTGTGTTTAGGTCCAAATGTAAGATGCACTTTTCTGAGAAAGACTTCCCCCAGGAATAGTACTCATAACCAACACCCACCACTAAAACCAGTAAAACAAGCGCATTTCCATTTGCACGTCCCTACTTCTTCCTGGAGGAATGGAAAGTAACTGCACCATTTCTACTGTGAACTCTGATACTGCTTAACTTTCTATGCTGCTTAGACACCAAGGGGACAGGTGCATTCAGTATTTCTAAGATAAATAGATAAGTTCTTTAGCTGCTGTTCTAAAGCACGTTAGTACCAGCCTTAGCTGAGAAACTTCGGCTACACTGATCTTTTCCTTAGATGTATCAACCATGTATATGTGGCATAATTTTTAAATTCATAAATAAAATGATCAACTCTTTTCCAAGATCTTGGAAATTATCTTAACCATAAGTATTATTACTCCAAAATTTTCCTCATGATTTGTGACCTATATAAATATTGCATAATTTCTGACCAAAAAAAATTCCATGTCTCATAATGAATTAACATTGAGATTTCTGTACCTTTTATACTTAAGACAACTTAGGGGTTCAGTCATTGCACCACCTCTGCATCTGGCCAACTGTATTTACTCTTTGTGTCTGATGAAGAAACACAATCTGAGTTGTAGTTTTAATGTACCTGCTATGCTGAAAAAGTTAGTGACTCCTGAGAGCATGGGACAGGGCTAGGAGTGTAGATGAGCAAAGGGAAAAGACTCTTGTATCCTTGTTAAAATTAGTAATGGGGGAACCTTTTGGCCTGGAGGTTCTATTTGGATAAACTCTCAGCTGCATACATTTTGGGTGTATATAGATTTTAGGGGAGGAAAAATAATCCTTTCAAGTTAATATTTTACATTAAGGCAGAGCTAGCATATCCAGGTTGGTAACCCATTGTTAATCAGGTCCATAAACTTTAACCTTAACATCTCAAAACTCAAAGTAACTTTTTCTATCTATATTTCTGTGATATTTTCACCGGAGATGACATCACAATTGTGTCAATGAGGGCACCATAGCAGACAGTTTCAAGTCTGCAGCCATGTGGATTTGTCATGGCTACAGAAAAAGGCAACCTTCAAAGGTCACAGCTGCAAATTTACTGTAAGGTCCTTCTATGACCCTGGAGTGACAGCGTGTTTATGAATAGGCTGGTTGCAAGCCCCAAGATCACTCTGTCACAGGGAGGTAGGGGTACCTTTTCTAGATTATTCATGCTGAAATTGTCACAAAATCCAAGAAAGTCAAAAAGTGTCTT